GGGAGCCTCCCGAAACGGGGCCCGAACCCGCGTCTCCTGCATCGGCAGGCGGACTCTCAAGCACTGCGCCACCAGGGAAGCCCTGATCTGATTTTTATGATTTCTTTCCTTCTGCTAACTTTGGTTTTTTTTGTTCTTCTTTCTCTAATTGCTTTAGGTGTAAGGTTAGGTTTTTTATTTGAAATGTTTTTTGTTTCTTGAGGTAGGATTGTATTGCTATAAACTTCCCTCTTAGAACTGCTTTTGCTGCATCCCATAGGTTTTGGGTCATCGTGTTTTCATTGTCATTTGTTTCTAGGCATTTTTTGATTTCCTCTTTGATTTCTTCAGTGATCTCTTGGTTATTTATTAGTGTGTTATTTAGCCTCCATGTGTTTATATTTTTCACAGTTTTTTTCCTGTAATTGATATCTAGTCTCATAGCACTGGGGTCGGAAAAGATACTTGATAAGATTTCAGTTTTCTTAAATTTACCAAGGCTTGATTTGTGACCCAAGATATGATCTATCCTGGAGAATGTTCCATGAGCACTTGAGAAGAAAATATATTCTGTTGTTTTTGGATGGAATGTCCTGTGAATATCAATTAAATCCATCTTGTTTAATGTATCATTTTAAGCTTGTGTTTCCTTATTTATTTTCAGTTTGAATGATCTGTCCATTGGTGAGAGTGGGGTGTTGAAGTCCCTTACTATTATTGTGTTACTGTCGGTTTCCCCGTTTATGGCTGTTAGCATTTGCCTTATGTATTGAGGTGCTCCTATGTTGGGTGCATAAATACTTACAAATGTTATATTTTCTTGGATTGATCCCTTGATCATTATGTAGTGTCCTTCTTTGTCTCTTGTAACATTCTGTAATTTAAAGTCTATTTTGTCTGATATGAGAAATGCTACTCCAGCTTTCTTTTGATTTCCATTTGCATGGAATATCTTTTTCCATCCCCTCACTTTCAGTCTGTATGCGTCTCTAGGTCTGAAGTAGGTCTCTTGTAGACAGCATATATATATGGGTCTTGTTTTTGTATCCATTCAGCTAGTCTGTGTCTTTTGGTTGGAGCATTTAATCCATTTACATTAATGGTAATTATCAGTATGCATGTTCCTGTTACCATCTTCTTAATTGTTTTGGGTTTGTTATTGTAGGTCTTTTCCTTCTCTTGTGTTGCCTGCCTAGAGAAGTTCCTTTAGCATTTGTTGTAAAGATGGTTTGGTGGTGCTGAATTGTCTTAGCTTTTGCTTGTCTGTAAAGGTTTTAATTTCTCGGTCGAATCTTAATGAGATCCTTGCTGTAGAGTAATCTTGGTTGTACGTTCTTCCCTTTCATCACTTTAAATATGTCCTGCTACACCCTTCTGGCTTGCAGAGTTTCTGCTGAGAAGTCAGTTGTTAACCTTATGGGGATTCCCTTGTATGTTTTTTGTTGTTTTTCCCTTGTTGCTTTTAATATATTTTGTTTTTATTTAACTTTTGATAGTTTGATTAATATGTGTCTTGGTGTGTTTCTCCTTGGATTTATCCTGTATGGGACTGTCTGTGCTTCCTGGAGTTGAATGACTATTTCCTTCCCCATATTAGGGAAGTTTTCAACTATAATCTCTTCAGATATTTTCTCAGTCCCTTTCTTTTTCTCTTCTTCTTCTGGGACCCCTATAATTCGAATGTTAGTGCGTTTAATGTTGTCCCAGAGGTCTCTGAGACTGTCCTCAATTCTTTTCTTTCTTTTTTCTTTATTCTGCTCTGCAGTAGTTATTTCCACTATTTTATCTTCCAGGTCACTTATCTGTTCTTCTGCCTCAGTTATTCTGCTATTGATTCCTTCTAGAGAATTTTAAATTTCATTTATTGTGTTGTTCATCATTGTTTGTTTGGTCTTTAGTTCTTCTAGATCCTTGTTAAATGTTTCTTGTATTTTCTTAATTCTATTTCCAGGATTTTGGATCATCTTTGCTATCATTACTCTGAATTCTTTTTCAGGTAGACTGCCTATTTCTGGTTCATTTGTTTTGTCTGGTGGGTTTTCATTTTGCTTCTTCATCTGCTGTGTGTTTCTCTGTCTTCTCATTTTGCTTAACTTAACTGCATTTGGGGTCTCCTTTTCACAGGCTGCAGGTTTGTAGTTCCCGTTGTTTTTGGTGTCTGCCCTCAGTGGGTAAGGTTGGTTTAGTGGGTTGTTTAGGTTTCCTGGTGGAGGGGACTGGTGCCTGTGTTCTGGTGGATGAGGCTGGATCTTGTCTTTCTGGAGGGCAGAACTACATCCAGTGGTGTGTTTTGGGGTGTCTGTGACCTTATTATGATTTTAGGCAACCTCTCTGCTGATGGGTGGGGTTGTGTTCCTGTCTTGCTAGTTGTTTGCCATAGGGTGTCCAGCACTGTAGCTTGCTGGTCGTTGAGTGGAGCTGGGTCTTAGCATTGAGATGGAGATCTCTGGGAGAGCTTTCCCCGTTTGACATTACATGGGGCCGGGAGGTCTCTGGTGGACCAATGTCCTGAACTTGGCTTTTCCACGTAAGAGGCTTAGGCCTGCCACCCGCCCTGAGCACCAAGAACCCGTCAGCCACATGGCTCAGAAGAAAAGGGAGAAAAAAAATAAAGCAAGAAAAAATAAAATAAATAAAGTTATTAAAATAAAAAATAGAAAAAATTTTTTTTCAATTAAAGAGTAATTTAAAAAAAGAAAGAAGAGAGGAACCAAACCAATTAACAAATCCACCAATGATAACAAACACTAAAAGCTATATGAAAAAAAACCACAAAAAAACTGACAGAACCTTAGGAGAAATGGTAAAAGCAAAGCTGTAGAGACAAAATCACACAAAGAAGCATACACATACACACTCACAAAAAGTGAAAAAGGAAAAAAAGCTATAAAAAAAAAAGGAAGTGGGCAAATCAGTAAACAAATCTATCAATGATAATAAACTCTAAATACTAAAGTAAGATAAACATAAAACCAGAAACAAATTAGATGCTGAAAGCAAACCCCAAGTCTCCAGTTGCTGCCAAAGTCCACTGCCTCAATTTTGGGATGATTCATTGTCTATTCAGGTATTTCACAGATGCAGGGTGCACCCAGTTGATTATGGAGCTTTAATCCGCTGCTCCTGAGGCTGCTGGGAGAGATTTCCCTTTCTCTTCTTTGTTCCCACAGCTCCAAGGGTTCAGCTTTGGATTTGGCCCCGCCTCTGCGTGTAGGTGTCCTGAGGGCATCAGTTCTTCGCTCAGACAGGACATGGTTAAAGGAGTAGCTGATTCGGGGCCTGTGGCTCACTCAGTCTGGGGGAAGGGAGGGGTACGGATGCGGGGTGAGCCTGCGGCAGCAGAGGCCAGAGTGATATTGCACCAGCCTGAGGCGTGCCGTGCGTTCTCCCTGGGAAGTTGTCCCTGGATCCTGGGACCCTGGCAGTGGCGGGCTACACAGCTCCTGTGAGGGGAGGCGTGGATAGTGACCTGTGCTCGCACACAGGCTTCTTGGTGGTGGCAGCAGCAGCCTTAGTGTTTCATGCCCATCTCTGGGGTCTGCGCTGATAGCCGTGGCTTGCGCCTGTCTCTGGAGCTTGTTTAGGTGGTGCTCTGAATCCCCTCTCCTCATGCACCCCGAAACAATGGTCTCTTGCCTCTTAGGAGGTTCCAGACTTTTCCCTGGACTCCCTCCCGGCTAGCTGTGGCACGCTAGCCCCCTTCAGGCTGTTTTCACACAGCCAACCCCAATACTCTCCCTGGGGTCTGACCTGAAGCCCGAGCCTCAGCTCCCAGCCCCCGCCTGCCCCGGCGGGTGAGCAAACAAGCCTCTCGGGCTGGTGGGTGCCGGTTGGCACCGATCCTCTGGGTGGGAATCTCCCCGATTTGCCCTCTGCACCCCTGTTGCTTTGCCCTCCTCCGTGGCTCTGAAGCTTCCCCACTCTGCCCCCCGTCTCCTCCAGTGATAGGGCTTCCTAGTGTGTGGACACTTTTCCTCCTTCACAGCTCCCTCCCAGAGGGGCAGGTCCCATCCCTAATCTTTTGTCTCTGTTTTTTCTTTTTTTTTTTTTCTTTTGCCCTACACAGTCTCATGGGTAGTTTCTTGCCTTTGGGGAAGTCTGAGGTCTTCTGTCAGCGTTCAGTAGGTGTTCTGTAGGAGTTGTTCCACATGTAGATGTATTTGTGATATATTTGTGGGGAGGAAGGTGATCTCCACGTCTTACTACTCCGCCATCTTGAAGGTCCCCCCGCCAACCTGAGGAAATTTTATGAAAATAATTTACCTGCCCTTTCCTCTTATTGTTCTTTTGGCCAGAGGCATTTCTCACTGATTGTGCAAACATTAATATTTAAAGGAACAGAATTCTGTATTTGAGACTAAGTTGTGTTTTTTAGCTAAGCAGTTACACAGAATGACTCAAGTAATATTGTAATAAGCAATACTTATTAAATAAGTGATACTTATTTTGGTTTTACTCTCTTTTTTGCAGATGACATCACCTACCAAGAGTATGATGAGCAAGGTCTGAAAATGCTTCTTGACCTTAAGTTACCTACTTGTTTTAAAGTCTACTCAGAGTTTGACTGTGAAGTATGGAGAGTAGTATTTTAGCTATAAATTTACACCATAACTTAAAAGATCCAAATGAATGGGCAGTTCTCAAAGAGTTTACTTGGGGAGATTGTCTACCTATTCCATTGGTTCTGCTGTTGCCTAAATTGTTTCTTAAATTCTTTGCAAGGTGCCTTAGGAAGTGGTTACAAATTATTCAAGAAAACACATCTCATTACTTTATAGTCATAGCTCTCTTTGAATGAAAAATAAGTCCCTTGCTTGAAAGACTACTTTAGTCAGAGTTTAACTACTCTAGCTGCTTCTGAAGGTTAATTTTAGTTAAATAAAGATGACTGATCTGCCAGCATGGAGAAAGATGTAGCAGAACTTCATTCCGGGCTTCAGGGCAGCATAAAGAAAATAGTTCTGGCATCAGATTCTGATTTAGACAGTTATAGCTCCTCTTGTTGCGCCAGCACTTCTCATGCTGTTTTATTAAACTCATCAAGTAGATTATGTTTTCACTACTCTTCCCAGATGAAAGAAGTAGGGTTCAGAGAATGTAAGTAATTTTGCATAAGTCCACATGACTAAGAAATGATAAAATACCAGTGATGGATCGTTTTTATTCTAATATCTTCAAAGATGACTCTGTAGAAGGAAAGAAGCCCATTGGGTATAACTGTCTGTGAAACAAGAAGGATGAAGAAATGTGTAGTGCTTGAGTCAGATATGGAGGACTTCTATGTGCTGGATGGTTTTAGGGCTTGACATTCAGTTATGAATAATATAGAGTCTCTACTTCCAAAACATTTGTGGTCTCATGTCAGTTGGTGAATCTCAAGTGAAGAAAATTAGGAAGGGCTGCATGTAGATCTAAGATGCTGATTTATTAATCATGTGATTTTAAAATTTTAGACCCTACCAAGATCACCATCCACAGTGGCTGTTCCTAATGGGATATGAAGGATCCCATTGGAAGAATCCTGCAGTCTATCTCTAGGGACTAATATTTTTTTTTATAACTTGGCCACTACAATTGAATTTAGATTCTTTTTTTCAATTTTGAATTTGAAGGAGAAAATAGGAATTTGGAATTTATAAGTTGCATGTAGATGTGGGATTTGAGATAGTTTTCTAATTTCTGCCAGTCACTGTGGTGTTTTTCTAAATATGCTGGAAAGAACGTTTGGAATGCAAGTTGCAGACTAGATCTAGAGAATTTTAAAATCAAATTTTCAAGAAGTGTAAAATTAGATAAAATGCTAAAAAAGATGTTGTGAAAGTAAAGATATTTTCATAGGAAGAATGTCATAATAAATATAATTTAAAATGTTAACAGGGTAAAAATATGACCTGAGGGGTCATCAAGTTTTGATGAGATACTTTGAATTACCTTGTTATAGAACACAAACTTTTTCAAATCAAATAGATCTAATCAGGAACCCAGATAGGGAAGCCAAGTGACCAAGTATATGTATATCATACACACACATACACACACACACGCGCTCACACACACACACACACACACACACACACACACACACACACACACATAAAGCTGTAAGTCGGGTGAAAAGAAAACCGTTTTTCAGCCAGAGAACAGAATATATTCTGTATTAAACATTCCAAATTCTAGGACCTGGAAAGGATAAAGCTTGTTAAGGCTGTAGAGGGAACCAGCTTTCCACATAAAAAATGTCCTGGAAAGCATTAAGCCTACATTGGAAACACCTGGCAAATGACAGTACAGTCTTAGCATCTAATTGATTTATTTATTCATACACTACATATACTACATATGTATCACGTAGCCTGTGTCCAAAACGTAGGACACTGGGGCAGTTCCAGTGAAGAACACACATGGCTCATATTCTCATGGACTGTGTATTTTAGCAGTGGGGTAGAAATGATACAAATCATTTTAGTTCAGTATTCAGTTACAATTACATTAAGTACTGGTAAGAATGAGTATAGTGTACAACAAGAGTATAAAGTGGCCCTACCCTAGTTTGTGGACCAGGGAAGGCTGAAGTATGAGCTGAAGAGTAGAACAATTGACAAGGCCACAGGGGAAAGGATGCTGGAACGTAGAATGAAGCTGCTGATGGGAAGATGTGTCTGGAGTGCTGAGCATAAGAGAAACTGAGGCTGAGATTGTGAGATGGTCCGGGTCCAGAGGTCAAGGGCGTTCATCTTCACCTTGGAACACTGTTCTAGAGCAGTGCATTTTGTAAGGATTGATCTGTCTAAAACGTAGCAAATAGATTGGAGAGACAAGAGTAGATGTGGGGAGGGAATTGCTTGGTGGTCCAATGGTTAGGATTCCACACTTCCACTGCAGGGAAGCTAAGAATTATATAAGCTGTGCCACGCGGCTAAAAAAAAAAATTGTAGATGTGGGGAGACCAGTTAGGTTACTGCAGTTATCCAAACTTGATGTTCACTGAGTCACATCTCTGCCAAACGAGGCATCAGGAGATGAGTTTTAAGAAAGGGGTGTTCAACCGTGTCCTGGGCTGCTGAGGACCCACCCAAGTGAGCACTGAAGACCTGCCTTGGATCTCGTGCTATGGAGGCCTCACTGGTAACCTTGGCAGAACTGTTTGCAGTGGACAGAAGTTGGACAGAGATGATAGTGGTTTAAACCAGGGTGGTGGCAGTGAAGGTGAATGGAAGTAGACAAAGGTGAGAAGTAGAAGATAAAGTTGGTGGGGATAGATGTGCAAGTGTAGCTGGGGAGAGAGAGCACAGTGTCGGGAACCACATCCACTGTTGTGCTTATGCACCCGGTGGGTGGGGTGCTTTTTCCTAAAACGGTGAGACTGGAAAACAGGCTTGGGGCCAGAAGGTCACGAGTACAGTCTATACATCCTGATAGTGCCTGTTGAGCCATCCAAGGGGAGATACCAAGTTAGCCGATGGTGTTTGGATCTCAGAAGTCTATTCGTAGTTGAGTTTGAGAATCATCAGAATATGCATTGTGATTGAAGCCAAAGGCTGAGATCATTTAAGGAGAGAGGAGAGAGTAGGAATAGAGGAGGATTAATGGCTGGACTTTGACAAAAAGCAATATTTAATGCCTGGTAAGAAAAAGGTGATGTGATGGAGGTTGAGAAGGAGAAAGGAAAGACTCATAGGAGAGTATGGTCACATTGGAGTCCAAGGACAAGGAGCTGCTAGGAGACCTGATACAGTAAAGGCAGGAAGTGTCCATTGGGTTAAATGAGTGCTCGTGGGAGGTCTTAGGGGAGCATTTTCAGGGATGTGATCAGGGCCGGAAGACAGACTGGAGTGGGTTGAGGAGAGGAAGTGAGGAGACAGCATGTGCAAATGACTCTGAAGAAATTAGATTGTGAAATGGAGGAAGGAGAGGGCAGGGAGAACCTATGATGGAGAAGAATCTGAAAAAGAATACACACACACACACACACACACACACACACACACACACATGTATAACTGAATAACTTTGCTATCCATCTGAAACATTGTAAATCAACTATACTTCAATAAAAAATAAAGGACATAATAAATAAATGAATAAAATTAAAGTAACAACAAAAAGAAAAGACTTGTTTATTTGTTTTTCAGTTGATAGACTTGAGCATATTAAGTGCAGACACCGTTCAGGGTGACAGAGTGAGCAAACATTCACTGCTCCTTTGTCTTCCAAATGCCACCGAAAGGATAGAAAATGATCTGTTAAAAATTATCCCTTGCTCTACTCGAGCACTAGTAACAATATCTGAAACACAGTAGATGTTCAAATTTTTTTCTTTATTAAATGAACAAGGAGAATATATTTGTAACCATGCTAGAAAAACAACACAGTTTGCTCTTAGGGTAGCAGAAATTTTCAGGCATTTTGGAAGATGGAAAAATAGGGATCAGGCTGACTAGGAAAGCAGTGAGCCAGCCAGGCATGAGGGGAGACCACAGCCAAGACAAGGGCCTCCTTTGCAGTGGAGCAGAGAGAGATGAGCCTGGACTGTGGTGGATTAAGACCTGCCCGCAGAACCCTCTCTCTCTCAGGGACTGGAGGCAGGCCATTTGCCCCAGGTGAAAGATCCAAGCATTGCTCCCTAAGCAAAGTAGAGAATCTGCCTGGTAAAAACTTGGACCCAGAGTGATAAGCGGGCTGAGCCACGGGTAACTCAGAGCCTCCACTACAGTCACGAAGCAAATAAAAAAATGAAATTCAGTATCACCCTGGGGTAAACAGATTACTGGATCCAGGTAAAAAGTGACTGGGGAGGAACTTTAATTTTCCCCATTTTACAGGAAGGAAGCATATAAAATTACTCCTCTGGCTAAAAGTGGCTGCCCTGCAATTTGAATCCAGGCCTGTTTTACTCCAGACCAAACTCTTCCTGGCTCTACTCTGTAACCTGCCGCTTCCCAGTGACTGAGACCCAGAGGTTCAAAGATAAATTAGACATTGAACCATACTGCAAATGTTGTGTTTTAATGGGAGTTACACGGTGCTCAAGGATTATTTTTTCTGTGTACTTTGCAGCGTTTGAGCCATCGGAAAATGAAGGGACAGAAAATTCAGGTAAGGTATTTGTCTAAGCAGATGTTTCCTGCAAGTCAGCTCCCCTTTTATTTGTGAAAATGAATATAGCTTGTGGAACAAAGGCTCCATAGCACAAGGAGATCAACTCAATGCTTTGGGACCACCTAGAGGGGTGGGATAGGGAAGGTGGGAGGGAGGCTCACGAGGGAGGGGATATAGGGATATATGTATACATATAGCTGATTCACTTTGTTATACAGCAGAAACTAACACAACATTGTAAAGCATTTATACTCCAAAAAAGATGTGAAATAAAAAGATAGATTTAGTCAGAAATACAAGACATTCTCAAGTCACCAAGGAAGTAATTGGATCATGTTGATACGTTTATTCCTTGTTTATGGTGTAAGTTTTATGTCAGCAGGGATAATACGAGCCTATTGATGTATTCTTTGAATATAATTTAGAAATTAAAGTTGATATTCTAGTGAGTGTCTCTATAAGAAGCCCCAATCTAAAAAGAGCCAAATTTAGGTCTGAGTGGAAATGTTTATTTAAGGACCTAGTGAAGATGAGTTAATGTAAGACATGTTTGCTTTTTTTTAGATAATGCTGTAGATGACTCAAACACAATTTTAGAAGGTAAGTTAATTTTATAGACATGATTTTACTTTTTATATTAAAATTATGTTCATTTCTTCAACAAGCACTTGTTACACCTTACTATTTGCTGTCTTTACAGTGCTCAGGGGCTAGGAGGGCAAGAGTGAATAAGAGAGTTGGAATTCTGTTTTCACTGCAGCTGGAACTCTAGTGGCCAAAGAGATGATGAAGTCATTAAAGATTATGAGAAGTGCAGTGATGGAGATAAAACCAGGATCATATAGTAGAAAGTAACTTGTTAGGTTGAGGAGGGCCACCCTAAATAGGAGGAGGTGGTCTTGTGAGAAGGAGTTATCCATAGGCAGAGGTGGGTTGAAATGGTAGGAGTGTAAATTGATACAGCCACTATGGAAAACAGTATGGAGGTTCCTTAAAAAACTAAAAATAGAACTACCATATGACCCAGCAATCCCACTACTGGGCATATACCCTGAGAAAACCATAATTCAAAAAGAGACACGCACCACAGTGTTCATAGTTGCGTCCTTTACATTGTTACACAGCTGGAAAAAACATTTTTTGAACCTGAAGGATTTGTTTCAGAAAAATAAAACCTGTTACATACATTACATAGTGGTGCTTCGACACGACTTAGATTTCTGAAGTTCATAACAGTTTGCAAAGCTCGTTCCCATATACTGTTTCCACTGTTTCTCACCATAGGCACTGAACAGGAGCCTGGGCAAATAGCATTGTACTTACTTTACAAATGAAGGGCTGAGAGCCTGAGGTGAGATCAGGTGGCTGCCCGGGTTCCAGCTAGAGTGGCCGGGCTGGTCTTCAACCCAGCATTGGGGCCGGCAGTTGACCCTGGAGTCTGTGTGCTCACAAGGAACATGTCATGGGGAATTTTGCTCATGAGATTAATCTTAGAATTCATTTATGGTCCACTGATTGTCAGTTTTCAGATTAAATGTTACTGCTTCTGAGCTTGGTTAGACAGAGTATAGTCAACTGAATTGGAGAAGGTGGGGAGGGGGAAGGGGAGAGGAGGAGAGGGGATGCTAGAACTTCCCTCATTGTCCACTTTGCTGCTGGGAGAGACCCCAGCACAGGAGCTGTGGGCCGCTCTGTCTAAGCTGATCATCCATGGAGTAGGCTGGATGGCACTCAGGTTTCCTCCCACCTCCTATTACTCAGTTCTCTATGGAAAATATAACTGAGTCTGTTTTTTTATTCAATTAGAATTAGAAAATGGAAACTCAGAATCCCTAGAAAGAACTTCATCCAACCCAACCCACATATATTGTTTTATGTAAAAGAACTAACCTCACAATATGCAACTTGGCTTTGCCTTTTTTGTATTAGAAATACAGTGTTTCTGAAACCATTTCCTCTAAGGTCAAGAACAAGACAAGGTTGTCCACTCTTCACCACTCTTATTCAACATAGTTTTGGAAGTTTTAGCCACAGCAATTAGAGAAGAAAAAGAAATAAAAGGAATCCAAATCAGAAAATAACAAGTAAAGCTGTCACTGTTTGCAGATGACATGATACCATACATAGAGAATCCTAAAGATGCTACCGGAAAATGACTAGAGCTAATCAATTAGTTTGGTAAAGTAGCAGGATACAGAATTAGTGCACAGAAGTCTCTTGCATTCCTATACACTAATGGTGAAAAATCTGAAAGAGAAATTAAGGAAACACTCCCATTTACCATTGCAACAAAAACAATAAAATACCTAGGAATAAACCTACCTAAGGAGACAAAAGTGCTATATGCAGAAAACTATAAGACACTGATGAAAGAAATTAAAGATGATACAAACAGATGGAGAGATATACCACATTCATGGATTGGAATAATCAACATTGTGAAAATGACTATACTACCCAAAGCAATCTACAGAGTCAGTGCACTCCCTATCAAACTACCAATGGCATTTTTCAGAGAACTAGAACAAAAAACTTCACAATTTGTATGGAAACACAAAAGACCCCGAATAGCCAAAGCAATCTTGAGAAAGAAAAAGAGCTGGAGGAATCAGGTTCCCTAACTTCAGACTATACTACAAAGCTACAGTAATCAAAACAGTATGGTACTGGCACAAAAACAAATATAGGTCAGTGGAACAGGATGGAAATCCCAGAGATAAACCCACACACATATGGTCACCTTATGATTGATAACGGAGGCAAGAATATACAATGGAGAAAAGACAGCCTGTTCAGTAAGTGGTGCTGGGAAAACTGGACAGCTACATGTAAAAGAATGAAATTAGGGCTTCCCTGGTGGTGCAGCGGTTGAGAGTCCGCCTGCTGATGCAGGGGACACGGGTTCATGCTCTGGTCCTGGAAGATCCCAGCCGTGGAGTGGCTGGGCCCGTGAGCCATGGCTGCTGAGCCTGCGTGTCCAGAGCCTGTGCTCCGCAACAGGAGAGGCCACAACAGTGAGAGGCCTGTGTACCACAAAGAAAAGAAAAAAAGAAGAATGAAATTAGAACACTCCCTAACACCATACACAAAAATAAACTCAAAATGGATTAAAGACCTAAATGTAAGGCCAGATACTATAAAACTCTTAGAGGAAAATATAGGCAAAACACTCTATGACATAAATCACAGCAAGATCCTTTTTGACCCACCTCCTAGAGAAATGGAACTAAAAACAAAAATAAACAAATGGGACCAAATGAAACTTAAAGGCTTTTGCACAGCAAAGGAAACCATAAACGAGACGAAAAGACAACCCTCTGAATGGGAGAAAATATTTGCAAATGAAGCAACTGACAAAGGATTAATCCCCCAAATATATAAGCAGCTCATGCAGCTCGATATCAAAAAAACAAACAACCCAATCCAAAAATGGGTAGAAGACCTAAACAGACATTTCTCCAAAGAAAATATACAGATTGCCAACAGACACATGAAAGGATGCTCAACATCGCTCATCATTAGAGAAATGCAAATCAAAACTACAATGAGGTATCACCTCACACCAGTCAGAATGGCCATCATCAAAAAATCTACAAACAGTAGGGCTTCCCTGGTGGTGCAGTGGTTGAGAGTCCACCTGCTGATGCAGGGGACACGGGTTCGTGCCCCGATCCGGGAAGATCCCACATGCCATGGAGTGGCTGGGCCCGTGAGCCATGGCTGCTGAGCCTGCACGTCTGGAGCCTGTGCTCCACAACGGGAGAGGCCGCAACAGTGAGAGGCCCGCATACCACAAAAAAAAAAAAAAAAATCTACAAACAATAAATGCTGGAGAGGGTGTGGAGAAAAGGGATCCCTCTTGCACTGTTGGTGGGAATGTAAATTGATACAGCCACTATGGAGAACAGTATGGAGGTTCCTTAAAAAACTAAGTAGAACTGCCATACGACTCAGCAATCCTACTACTGGGCATATACCCTGAGAAAACCATAATTCCAAAAAGAGTCATGTTCCACAATGTTCACTGCAGCTCTATTTACGATAACCAGGACATGGAAGCAACCTAAGTGTCCATCAACAGATGAATGGATAAAAAAGATGTGGCACATAAATACTATGGAATATTACTCAGCCATAAAAAGAAACGAAATTGAGTTATTTGTAGTGAGGTGGATGGACCTAGAGTCTGTCATACGGAGTGAAGTAAGTCAGAAAGAGCAAAACATATCGTATGCTAACACATATATATGGAATTCCAAAAAAAAAAAAGGTTCTGAAGAACCTATGGGCAGGAAAGGAATACAGACACAGACATAGAGAATGGACTTGAGGACACGGGGAGGAGGAAGGGTAAGCTGGGACAAAGTGAGAGTGTCATGGACATGTATACACTACCAAACGTAAAATAGCTAGCTAGTGGGAAGCAGCCGCATAGCACAGGGAGATCAGCTCGGTGCTTTGTGACCACCTGGAGGGGTGGGATGGGGTGGGATAGGGTGGGTGGGAGGGAGACGCAAGAGGGAGGGGATATGGGGATATATGTATATGTATAGATGATTCACTTTGTTATCAAGCAGTAACTAACACACCATTGTAAAGCAATTATACTCCAATAAAAATGTTAAAAAAAATCATTAGGGATGAACTGAAAAAAAAAAAGTTTTTTCCTAAGCCTTTTGATCAGCCAGTAGAGGGCGTAACAGAGGCTGCTCAGGGAATTCCTTCTGCTGGGCAGTGGGACTCTGGATTGTGTGCCTGTGGCCCAACCTGCAGTTTCTATGTTCCTGCGGCACTTGAGTGCACAGCGAGAGGAGACTTGTCATCGTCACTCGCCCACCAAACTTCTCTTCCCTTGTCTTCCCCCATCTTGGCTGGTTGCATCAATAAGTCCTCAGGTTCCCAAACCAGAAATGTGGGTGTTATCGCCTCTCCCCCTCTCTCTATAGCTAATCCCAAGTCCTGTTAAATAGTCTACTTAAACATTTCTCAAATTCATTCTTTCCTCTGAAGCTCTAGTAATCTAGTTCAGCCCCTCATCAACTTCCTGGACAATGGCAGTAGCCTGCTAGCTAGTCTTCTTAACTCCACGCTTGTCGCCTTCAAATCCATCTTTCACAATGTCACTAGGATGCTCTCTTCAGAAGTACACATCTGGCTATGTCAGTTCTGGGCTTAAACCCTTCTGTGTCAGTAAGGTTACTTTCTGCTGCAGGTAACAGAAAACTGAATTTGAATTGGCTTAAGCAGTATAGAGATGGGATAGATCATTTGGGGCCTTGGAGGACCTAGTAAGGAATTTGGATTTTTTTCTAAGTACAGTGAGAATCTGTGGAAATACTTGTGAGATATGACATAATCTGATTTATGTTTTGAACGATTACTTGTACTCTTAGAGAATGGATTGGATGGAGCGAGAAGGGAAGCAGGGACCCCTGTTAGGAAATTATTGAGTCCTAATCCAGAGAAGGGATCATGGTGGCCTGGAGGAAGACCATGAAGTGGAAATGGAGGGGAAAGTTTTAAACTTAAAATATATTTTAGAATTACAACTGATGGAACTTCCTGATGGTTGTGAAGTAAAGAGGAATAAAGGGGGCTTTTGGTTTGATTTGAATAAATGTTGGATGTTAGGGCTGTTTACTGAGAAGAAATGATTTTCTTTCCTGGTTTAGGGAAGAAAATCAAAGATACCATATTAGATATTTTATGTTCAGGAATTATGTGAGATACCCAAGTGGAGGCATCAAGTAGGGAGTTGGATATGCCAATCTGAGCTAGATGGGTGAGATCTGAGCTAGATGGGTGAGATCTGAGATGGATATGAATGCTTGGGAGCCATCCCCATGGAGATGGTGTCAATTCCATGGAAATAGATCATTTTGGAGGTGAGTGCAGAGGGAGTAGACCAGCAGTTCCAGGACTGAGCTCTAAGGAATCCCAACATTGTGAGGTTTGAGGGAGCATGCATAGCCAGTGAGACAGAAGGAAAATCAGCATGGAAGGATGGGAAAGAGCAGAAGGAAGGGAGAGTATGTTCTGCGCTACTGCCATTGGAATTTCAGGACTTGCAAAGCATCGATCGCATTTGGCAATGTGGAGAATGTCGGTGATCTCAGCAAAAGCTATTTGAGTAGATTGATGGGGGTCAAAGCCATACTGAAGTGGGTTTACAAAGTCCTGGAGTAAGAAAAGGAGTCTCTATCAATAGGCAAAACTTTCAGGTTGTTCTAATATAACAAATTATTTCTTTTAAAAAATCTTCTTGTTATATCATTACCAAAATACATTTCAGATAAGTTTGTTAAATGTACATTTTTTTCAGAATAAATTTGGATGAAAATTTATCACAGTAATAATGTCTCAGTATAAAATCAGGGATGAAAATAACAACGGATGTGGTTAATACTTTATGATGTGTACAAGCTTTTCAAATATACCTAAAATGACAAAAGTAAAAGAAATTCTGAGAAAAATATTGGTCAGGTTGGTAAAGTGCTAACATGTCTCTAGATTATTAAGAACCAAATAAATAGGCAAACCATTAACAAGCCAGTCACAACACAGAAAGCTAGTAAACATTCGTGGTACTGCCACTAGAGGAAGGAACTCTTCCAGAAGCTTAACAGGGGTCAGGGAGAATATGTGTGATATTTTTCTGTTTCCTTTTTACTTTTATCTAAAATATTTCCAGCTGTTTTGAGCATGTATCATTCTTAAAATTAGAAGCAAAGTAATGCAAGAAGAAAAATGATTAAAATAGCTGCATAAATATTTTGAGTTTTAGAAAATGCTAATAAAAATTCCTCCTTTTGACCAAAGCCTGTCAAAAATCTTGAGCAAAGGGAAAGCAGATACAGTCTTACCTCTCGATTACGGTAATGTTACAGGGGTTGGTAGGGATGAAGATGTAAAGGTGATGTAATTTTATAGAGTGAATCAGGTCAATATATCATTATACTGGTGAGTGGTGAGGCTTACAGTTTCTTTAGTTGTAAGTAGATTGAAGTAGCCAAGGAAAAAGACTAGATGTTAACATTCATATCCACGTTTCTGGCTAGTTTTAGAATATGTTAACCTTGAGTATTATTTTTCAAAAACAAGTTTATTAAAGATAGTGATATATTTTTAAGATTCGGTTTCAATTTAACTTTTTGTGCCGTTAACAAGAAACGAGATGCTTTAAATGTCTTTCTTCAGCTTTCTTATCAAGTCTGATGCAAAATTGTGGTGAAAACTTAGGTTTTAGTTCATATCTCCTTTGCCAGACAGAGTTTTGAGGTCAGTCAGTTAGGCAGATAATGTTTTAAAGCCTGTAGTTCAGGACAGTTGAGAAATATACAACATTTTACGAAGTTATAGCTAATTTTTCTTTGTTGGGATGGTGGAAAAACCTAATGTTTTATGATAATTGCAATTGAACACCCAAAAAAGTCTGTAAAAATGATCACTGTAACTTAAAGATCAGTGGTCTGTATTTTAAATACTGGTCAGCAATCTGTAATGCAGTGTTTTATGATTTATGATTTATTTATTTTAGAGGTGCACGTGCCCCCTGCAGAGGAACAGCGAGAAGTACCACCAGGTATGGCATTTTGTCAGATGTATCACTTTTTCCTTTTATGTTTAATTTAAAAGATGCTGCTGATACACTAGTTGGAATAATTCTATGAAGAGTGGAATTCCTGAGAGAGGAGGATTAATTATACCTAAATTTAAAAAGAAAATGTTCCGTGTTTTCGTCAGTTGAGCCAAAGTAATGGGAAATAGACATCAGACTGAGTCTAGTACATATTTGTTGAGGTAGACTTTGAGGAGTATTCATGATCAAAGTACTGTATGATTGTTGCCGTTATAGATGGTGCTAGTAGTGGAAGTTAGGTAGGCTTTTTTTTTTCCTTTTTTTTTGACAGGCTATTTGATGGAGGATGTGGAATCAGACTTGCCTTCAGATAAAAGTTTAATAGTGTTTAAATTAGTGACATTGGCCCTCCTCCCCCCGCCCGTCTTCCCCGAGAGCACCGTTGTGCCCTGCGTGACCCAGGCAGTCCTTCCTGCCAGCCCAGAGCACCGTTGTGCCCTGCGTGACCCAGGCAGTCCTTCCTGCCAGCCCACTGTGTTAACACCTGTCCCTCTGCTTTTTCCTCCCTTCCCCCATATGTCCCTTTCATCATCAGTGAGTTTAAACTCATCCATCATCAGTGAGTTCAACCAAGGCCTGTGCTTTCAAATGCGTTTTAAAGATGACATTAACCATACCTGCAATCGGAGATTAACATAGAAACCTTTTGCTTTCAAAGTGGGAAAAAAATGTTTCATTAGGAGAGGATTTTCCAACACCTCTTTCTCAAATGTATTTCTTCTTGTTTCTCTGTTTTATTTCCATTTGTTTTCTTTCTGTGTCATTTATTGGTTCAGTTTTTACTCACATTTTTCACATTATGCTTAATGTGAATTCTGTAGCAATGATGTACATTTGTATTACTGATTTTGGTAGAAATAATTGTGCCTTCCAAGATTTATTGAAATACTAAATTTCAAGAGGAAAAAAACCTTTTATAATCAAAGAGTGTTTTTAGTTACACCACAGCTCATATTTGCTTATGTAACAGTTGGAATGTTTTAGATTTTGATAGTTGTGGTGTGTTGTTTTAGATTTTGATAGTTGTGGTGTGTTGTACATTTAAAATATATACGAATACTAAAGGAACTGCATTGTTGGTATTGTGATATGAATGAGAAAAGAAATCCATGGAGAAATTGATCTTTTACAAGATGACTGCTGGGCCTATGAGTATATTTTGTTTTTAGGAAAGATGCACAGAGCAAGGAAGGTTGATGTTTCCGTCCTGCTTCTGTAATTTCCTCTTTGTTGTTGAGCAGAGTGCTTCACAGAGTGCCTTGTTTCTAACCTGAGGATGCAGAGGGCAGGTCACTGAATTTGCATTTTGATTACTATCCATTCCTCTAAAGAAAATTGTTTTATAAGTATTCCTAAAAATAACGAGTTTCTGCAACACTGACTTTTTTCTAGTTATAGTTGATATTTTTTTGATATTTACCTGACTTGAATGAAGGTATGAAACGTAATAATATTTTCTGACCAAAAAGTTCTGTGCTTCTACTGTGGTGTTTTATAAATGAAGTCCAAGAATTTCCTTGGAACATAAATACAAAATACTAAGTGCTTGCGGGGCTGGAATAAGGTGCCTTTTTTGATGAGATGTTTTAACAGCTGAAGTAAATGAAAATGAAGATTTGATTCATATGCATACTTCCTGACACATAGTGAGCTCCCAGTAAATGGTGGCCGTGGCTCTTACTGTTTAGTAATTAATTAGCCTGATCTCTGAGGTGGATCAAGAGAAGCTAAATTCTGAGAGACCTGATCAAGGAGTTGTAACCTGTCAGTTGTAATGCATTTGTCTTACATTCTGGTGTCATAAAAATTTGAGTGATGCACTGCACGGCTGTAGTTTGACCTTTACCAAAGAGGATGTGAGGCGGAGAGTCAGCAATAATTATTTGTAATGATTGCACTGGGTTTGCTTATTTCCTATTATCTTCTTAGTCTTTATATTACATTTTTAAAATTATTCAGTCTTACAAAAGAATAATATTCATAAATCGGTCTCTATTTTGTACAATAAGGTGACTGCTTTTGCAACAGTGTTGAATTATGTGATGCAGAAACTGAGGAGACAGTCGTGGGACCCATTTCCTTACTACCTTTCAATCTTTAAAATTCCTTATTCAGAGGAAAACGCAAACTGAGGCCCTCTGCAAAATGCTGGATATCGGTTTTTCCTGGCCCTCAGAATCTAACTGATGATTACTTTGCCTTCCCCGATCTTTCTACGACTAGGGTTATACAATCTTAATATTGCATATTAAAGTTCATAATAACATACTTATCGCTGTGATAATCCCATCCTGTGGGTGTACAGCTGGGGATAGCAACCAATACGGAGTCATTAACTTCTCAGAGTGGTACACAGGGCAGCACCCAGAGGATGGGGAACTAACCCGACTTTGGGGCCTGGAGTGCAAGCGTGAGGCAAGGCCTCTCACGTGTGGTCGTGCTGGAGCGGAGCCTTGAGGAGCTGCTGGAAGGGAAGGAGCTGGCACGTTCGGGGTGGGCACAGCAAGTGCTTGCAGCACAAAGACCAAGGTGGTGTGCCAGGTACAGGTGTAAGTAGACAGTGTGGATGGGCAGGCGGCGCTTCTCGGAGGATCCCGTAAACGATGTTTGCCAATTTGGACGAGGGCCTGAAAGTGCAGGGAAGCAGCAGAAAAATTCCAAGCCAAGGAGTCACGTGGTCAGATCCAGATTTGAACAGAGGAGGTCCTGTGAGGAGGTGGAGACCAGTCAGGGGGCAGATGTGTTCATCTAAGCAGAAGTGGTGGGACCTGGAACTGGTGGCAGGGATGCAGAGCAGGGACGGATTTCACGGACCCTGGAGGTGGAGGTAATTTGGTGGGAGAGGGGCTGGTTGAGGGGGAAGAGTCGAGCTTGATTCCTGTGCTTCTGTCTTGAATGGATGAATGATGGAACCTTAATGAGATACAGAAGGCGGGAGGAACAGAGGGTAGCAGAGACCACTGGCCTGAATTTGGAGACGCTGGGTTTGCAACTTGGTGGACTGCTTCTGAGTGGAGACTTCTTCAAATATGTAGGGGCATAATTTGAGTCATTCAGAATTGTAACTGAGCTTTTACGTTATTTGCCTTGTTATCAGTACTCATACTTTGAATAAGTTCCCATGGTCTCCAGGATTTTTGATTGCACAGGTTACAGAAATGCTTATTCCTCACAATCTAGCTAATGGTTAAATTCTAAGAGAACCTAAGGTCAAACCCATCTTTTAAAACTCTTTCTGTTGAGGTGTAAATTACACACAGGGAGGTGCTCACATGTTGAGGGTACAGTTTGATGGACTTGTACGTGTGATACATTCTTGTACCCACTACGCAGAGTTCTTCCAGCCCCTGGAGGTCTCTCCCTCTCCCCTCCCCCAGTAACGCTCCCACAAATGATAACTACTGTTCTGACCTGTGTCATCATAGACTGATCTGCCCGTCTTTGAATTTGATTGAATAGAACCGCAAGTAAACACACACACATATATATACACTTTTTTTGTGACTAGTTTCTGTTGCTCATCATTATGACTGTGAGTTTCATCCACTTTGATATTTATAGTTATTGGTTTTATCACTGCTATTTACTGTAATATTCCATTTAAAAATTCCATTCTGTGTTTATGGCTGCAGGGACTGTTTCTAGTTTGGGGCTGTTATGAAGAAAGCAGCTGTGAATATTTTTATTCATGTCTTTTGGTAGACAAACATTCATTTCTGTTGGATGTACAAAAGTGTAAATATAATTTCCAGTTACTTCTCATTAGCACCAAATAATTCTGCTTATATAAAAATTTCTGGTTACACACACACACGTATGCACACACGTAGACAGATACATAGGGAAGGAAGGAAGGGAGGGAGGGAGGAAGGAAGGATCAAAATCCAGCTTTAGAAATTATATCAGAATTTGACTGGGCCTTTATGTGCACAAACTCCTTGTTTACTCTAATTGTAACATAGATCCAGTGCTGTGGTAGTAACATAAATCAGACACTAGAGTTCGGAATAAGAAAATATTTGTTGAAAGTTGGACAGGAATGAATTTTACTTCTTTTAAAATAGTGTATACTTTTTTATACCAGCCACTTATATCTTCAATAACATTAAAATGATATAAGATTATTAAAGTAATATATTTTAACTGCAACTTCAGTATCCTGTTGCCGCTTGAAAATCCTTCCTATATTTGTGTTTCAAATGCCATACTAGATTTCCGCCCCCTCTATTACATTTCTTTTTAATACAGTGAAAACATTGATGGGAGAAATTTAATGCTTGTATTTTTCAAAAGACTGACATTTTAAAATTCAGTTGTAATTCTCAGATGCTCTAGAGAACCTCTAATTTTCATTAGCTTTGCAATGAAAGTAGTAGGAACTACTTTCATAGTAGTAGGTCCCCCAGGGACTCTACTCTAGGTAGTGAATCATTCTGTTACCCTGTTGCTGTTAACAACAACAACAATACCAGAAAGAAAAAAAAAAGCATTTACTTCTGTTGGTGGGTTTTTTAAAAGTAGAGTAAACATGAAGCAGTTTCACAGTCTATGTCTAGCTGGTCCTTTAATTTAGATTTTTCCCCTTATTTTTGCAGATACTTAAAGCTTCAGAAAGGCTGCCCCTACCACCACAGGAGGACCAGTTTACCCATACGCTGCAAAAGATGGCTGGGATAGATCTTGTGAAGTAATTTCTGAGCAGACCAAGATCTTTGGGAATGACCACTAAAGATGTTTTGAATGAACCATAGTCCACTGGCATTTTAGTGTATTTTTTTTTAGAAACAAAAATCACATGTGATGTTACATTCCTGCATGTCCTTTTCTGATAGCCTTAGTGGATCCATTGGATTTCTTTTCTTTTTCCTTTTGTGACACAGCTTTTAGTCTTACCTGCATTTATGTGTTTTTCAGACAATAGTTAATAATCGTATTGATGATGT